TACCCCGACTGGCAGTGGCCCTCCAGGGTCTCAGGCTGAGGTCTTTCCCATCACCTCCTGCCTGGTCCTTTTTAACTGGAGATGCCGGGGATTGAACCTGGAACCTTCTGGATGCCAAGCAGAGGCTCTACCACTGAGCTACAGCCCCACTTCATGACTCTCCAGGGTCTCAGGCTGAGGTCTTTCCCATCCCCTCCTGCCTGGTCCTTTTTAACTGGAGATGCCGGGGATTGAACCTGGAACCTTCTGCACGCCAAGCAGAGGCTCTACCACTGAGCTACAGCCCCACTTCATGACTCTCCAGGGTCTCAGGCTGAGGACTTTCCCATCACCTCCTGCCTGGTCCTTTTAACTGGAGATGCCGGGGATTGAACCTGGAACCTTCTGCACGCCAAGCAGAGGCTCTACCACTGAGCCATGCCCCCTTCTCGGTCACTCCCCTGCCACTTCTCTGGAAAAGCCACCGTCTGTTTTCAGCCAGAATGACACACACCAGTCGAGGAAATCTGACCTGTGGAACATTTCCTTGGCCTGTAGTTTTTCAAAGGAGCTTAACGCCTCCAAGTGGCAGGCCGATAAAATATGCATGCTCCTCTCCATGAGAGGGAGGTATAATGTTCTGCAATGAAGATTCTGCCTCCAGTGTAACTGAACAGGAAGGTTTCTAAGGACTGCAGGCAGTGTTCCCTCTAAGCTGAGTCAGTGTGAGCTAGCTCACAGTTCTTTAGCCTCCGGCTCGCAGGTTTTTGTCTTAGCTCGGGAAGGAGGGCTCCTGAGCAAACTGATTTATGCAGCAGCCAGATCGCTCACTCACAACTTTAACGCCAGGAGCTCACAAAGTAGAATTTTTGCTCACAAGACTCCACAGCTTAGAGGGAGCATTGACTGCAGGCCATCCTCTAGGAGAGCTAATTCAGTGGTAAGTCGACATGCAAGCTGCTGGCACTCTCCAGTTCGGCAGAGAAGCCGCAACATGGCAAGGTTTCTTTTCAGGTGGGACAAACCAACACTCGAAGCCGTCACGAAACACACGCGGGTCCCTGCTGGGATGCAGACTACGGCGAATCAGTGTGGCTCGCAGTTGATTCGAGAAGCAGAATTTGACAAACTGGGGCACGATGTGGCATGGTGGGACGGGGGAGCCATCTGGAAGCTCCCCTCTCCAGGAATCTTTAAGCACTCAGTGGCTTCTCCTCACTTTCCCCTCCACTCCTGCGGTCCGAGGACCAAAGAAACTTCATTTTGAGTTTCTGTTTGGAGATGAGAAATAACAGCTCAACAGGAAAATTCCACTGCCTGCCTGTCTGTAGACTAGCAAAGGGAAATTCTACTGTATGGTATGTAAGATAATGAGCCCCACCACCAGGTATCGTAATTTAGAAAGGTTGCTCAGTGATCAGAGATAACATTCTATCCTCCCTTGTCAATTAGATGATGGTACCAGGAGCTCTAGGGAGTTACCTGCATGGTCAAGTATTGATAAGAAGCAGAAGACCCTAATGAGAGTATAGATAAGCAGCTGGAGTAAGCGTAAGGGCTAAAGAATGCAAGTGAAAAACAGATGGAAAAGTTCATGATTGTAGCCATATATGAGATAGAAACTTGCATGATCTTATGTAAAGATATGGACATCTGCGCATGTCCAGAAGTTGTTTGCACATGATTATAAAAAGCTTGGGACTTTACTTAGCCTTTGGAATTCAGGCTTTTGAGGCTCGGCTTCCCCTTTGTTCGGATTAAGTTTTCCTGCTCGCTTCAGAAGCCTTACTGGTTGCGCTTCTGATTGGGACAAATGCGCCAGGCAACGGCCCATTTCGCGAACACTCCCAACACTCCCTTTCGCCTGGAGCAGATTTGGTCTCCCTCTGATGGATTTCTGAAGATTTCTTGCTTCAGTGGATTTGCAAAGTCATGGTTTCCTGTCTACCTGGTGACTCCCCCGAGCAAGTAGAGAGCTCTTCCCTTGTCTTTGTGCTGCCTAGTCTTGTTGCCGGCATCATCTTCACAAGGGTAGAATCATAGTTGGAAGGGACCTCCAGGGTCATGTAGTCCAACTCCTTACACAATACAGGAAATTCACAAATACCTCCCCCTCCACACCCGTAGTGACCGCTGTTCCACGCCCAGAAGATGACAAAAAAACTCTCCAGGATTGCTTCCTGACCCCAAAGTGGCAATCAGCATTTCCCCGGGCGTGTAAGAAAGGGCCACAAGAACTAAGCACTGAGGCAACCCTTCCTGCCTTCCCTCTCATGAACTTCCTAAGTTCACAGAATTTGCATTGCTGTCAAGATGGCCATCTAGCCTCTGTTTGAAAACCTCCCAAGAAGGAGATCCCACCACCTCCCGAGGAAGCCTGTTCCACTGAGGAACCGCTCTAACTGTCGGGAAGCTCTTCCTAATGTTTAGCCGAAAACTCTTCTGATTCAATTTCAACCCGTTGGTTCTGGTCCAACCTTCTGGGGCAACAGAAAACAACTGTTGTAAAACAGTTGCTATCTGACACAGGATCTGAACCCAGCTCTCCAGGATCACTATCTACCTCAGGGAATCTTTTTGCTTGGCCACACCTTAGAGGGCATATCTAACCCTCACACTAGCTAGTTCAGCAGTCAGTTCCTTCTCCCCATGGGACTGTAGTCCTGGGAGCAAGCGGAGCCGTGGCTCTCAAATAGAGATCTGAGCACACTGGCCGAGCTACAGCCCTCGAGATGGCTCGAGAAAAGCTGTGACAGTTAAACTAGCATCAAGCAGATATAACTTTTCCTCGGGCATTTAGCGAGTGCTGTTACCATGACCGATTCCGCACAAGCAGCTGTGCCGCCCTCACTTTTCTGTTTCCTCCGCTTGCATCGGTCAATTTCACACTGCTCGCTGCACGGCCACATTTCAACTGCAGCTCCCCGATTTCCCCCCGCATCTTCTCAATCTCAAAAAGCAAGGATCGAGAAGACGTGTGGGGGGGATCGGAGGGAGCTGTGGGTCAACATGCGGCAGCGCAGCGAATAGTGTGAAATTGACCAATGCAAGCGGGGGAAACAAAAGAGCAAGGGCGGCACAGCTGCTTGTGAGAAATCGGTCTGCATTTGAGGAGAAGCTAAAGTGCTCCTCCCTGTTCCTGCAGAGGGAGCCGCAGGGGGACAGCTGGGCACAGAGAAGGCCCATTGAGAGGGAATGGTCAGCTACGCTGCCATTGTAAGTGGGGGGAAGCAGGAGGCTGCTGGGTGAACGTCCTCAAGTGCTGGAATGTTGACTTTCATTTCTTTCGAGGTGTCTTATCTCTTTGCCTGGGCTCCTGACCTTGAATACCTTTCTCCTCTCGCTCTGCTGGGAATGTCTGATTGGCCCGATTCCATCAGGGGACCCCGCTCTGAATCCTGTATAACTTCCCCCTTTCCCGCCTGCGGAGTTAGATCTAACACTGAACGCGTGCACAGATGACCTGCCTTTACTGTTCTCAATAAACTTGATCCTTCAGAACAAGCCATTATATAGTCAGATTTGATGGTTTGTTAATGATGATTGACCACTCTCAATGTCAAGAAAAGCAATTTTTATATTGCTAAGCTAATACTTTCATTGGGCTCTTTTTGTAGCAGGTACTCATTTGCATATTAAGCCACACACCCCTAATGCATCCAATCCTCCAAGAGCTTACAGTAGCTCCTGTAAGAAGAGCTCTGTAAGCTCTTGGAGGACTGGCTACATTAGGGGTGTGTGGCCAGAGGTCATTTCGGGGGGGAACGCGGGGGAACGCAGTTCCCCCGGGTGAGGTGCAGGGGGTTGGGGCACATGACGAAGCCCTGCTTCCGGCTGCCCCGCTTCCAGCCCTCATTCAGCCAGGAGGAGGCAGGAGAAGAGGGAGGGTAGAAGAAGAAGAAGAAGAGATTGGATTTATACCCCGCCCTTCACTTGGAGTCTCAGAGCGGCTTACAAACTCCTTTCCCTCCCCCTCCCCACAACAGGCACCCTGTGAGGTGGGTGGGGCTGAGAGAACTCTGACACAAACTGCTCTTTTTCAAGGACAGCTGTGCCAGAGCTTGTGGCTAACCCAAGGTCACATCAGCAGGTGCAAGTGGAGGAGTGGGGAATCAAACCCGGTTCTCCCAGATTAGAGTCCGCACACTTAACCACTACACCAAACTGGCAACTCACTGGTAAGTTGCTTCCTCCCCGCCTCTCCCCACCCCTGCCTGCCTGGGGCCAGGGAGGGCCTTGGCGAGGCTTCCTCGCACTCCCGCTGGCCTTGCAGGTCCACCGCCGGGCCCCTGATGTCAGGGGGTGTGGCATATGCTAATGAGTTATGCTAATGAGTTCCCCTAGCTCTTTTTCTACGAAATGACCCCTGTGTGTGGCCTAATATGCAAAGGAGTTCCTGGCCTCCAACTCTTGGGTTTTTAGTGGATTTTATTTACTTTCTCCTGTAGTTGTAGATCCCCTCCCTAATTTGCCCCAAAATAAATAAATAAATAAACTTGATCCTTCTGAAGAAAATGTTACTGAGACTGATGGTTGTGGGACTCTTGGCAGGAACCAGCCGATGAACACTAAGAAGGTCACAGCCACAAAAGCTAATAACAAAATGCGCTCGTAATGCATAACAGGTAAGTATAAATGTATAAAGATATAGTGATCCACAATTCTCATAAATATTTCCTTCTAGGTATACAAAAGAGAAGCCCTCAGCAGAACAAACGGATGACGAAATTCTCCGGAGTGAACTTCCGTTTCGTAGAAAACTTCCTCTGAAAGTCAAAAACGGTCTCTCCTGTTTTCATAGATTGCATGATGTGAGAATTTGTGTAAGAACCACTATACATCATGGATTAGGATTTTGTATGTTACCCTGTATGGAAAAGGTTGCAAAGACACCTGGGAAAGCGCCCCAGCATTGGGGTCTAGAGCACGGCATCGTGGGATTTCCCCCTCCTTCCGCCATCCTCCAAGTTCCTCTTTAAACAAATCACAAGGCAGAACTCATCCCGCTGAAGACAACTCACCTCCTCTCTTCGAAGAGGACTTGGAAGACGTCGACCACTGCTTGGTCAGCACGCGCCCCGGCAAGGCTTCACCGGTATTGCTAGCGGTGTCCGCTGCCTCGGCAGACGGGGATATGGCCTTTGTTTCCGTGTCGTTGTCGCCCGCAGGATCTTTGGAAAGGTGCTGCTCTGACTCGCTGTCGCTGCAGCTGAACTGGGCCATCTTCTGCGCCAGCATCAGCTGGGCCTCCTTCTCCAGCTGCCGGATGTCCTCAATGGTCAGCCCGTACCACTCGTCCTGCCAGCACCAGGCCTGCCGGTGGGCCCTCACCATCACCTTCCGCAGACCTGCAAAAGGACGGCGGGCCAGCAGTTAGGGCCCATCCAGATACTGGCTGTGTTTCAGGCGGGTAGCCACGTTGGCCTGAGGCAGCAGAACAAAGTTTGAGTCCAGTGGCACCTCTAAGACCAACAAAGGTTTATGCCGGGTACATGAAAACCTATACCCAGAATAAAACTTTGTTGGAGAAGGAGGA